TATGATTTTAGACACCAACATCATATCTGTAGCTTATTTAGTTCCAATTATATGCACATTTTAGATAAATTTGGCGGCCATTTTGAAAAATGGCCGCCATTTGTATACCAGGTGAAAAATCAAGTGTCCACAGGGCTTAGGGTGACCAGGGCGGATTAATTAGGATATCTGGCTATGTTGACTGCTTCTAACATTCCACTCCCCCTAACTTGATTTCTAGGCCTCTTTTTTGATTTTTTTCCTAGTCTATTACAAACATCTACAAAGATCATGTCAGCTGCCACCAATACCAGTACCATTATATCAACGTGATATCTAACTACAGCGTTCTTCTAAATCACATAAATAATATATTATTTTAAATAAAACTTTAATTATTGTCATTATGCAACGGGTTCCATAATATGAACTACACTTTTTAAATTAACAAAATTATAATACTCCAAATACGTTTTATTGTTTATGTAGCACATTTTGTCAACTTGTTTATTGGCGGAATAAACTAAATTTTGAGTAGTAAACAATGTACGTATAAAAATATAAGCCTAGGTACAGCAGCCCGGAACTTGTAAAGAGAAGGTACATATGGAGAAATTAGGTATCTGTGGGCACAGATAGCAATGAAAAAAAAAAACACAATAGGGAAACTCCTCCCCATGAACAGTATCTAATCCTTGTACCATTTTATCGGACCACACTTACAAAAAACAAAAGTACCGTATAGACCTCTTTCATCACATTAATTCTATAATATTGTCTATCATAAACTGCAACATACTGTAGGCCTACTATATTTTTTCATTTTGTCGCTAGCTGCTCGCTAGGGTCTGTCATAGGACGTTATTCTAGGCGTGATCAACAACACTATATTTCAGGGCTGATATAATTAATATGCCTACCTGTATTACAATAATATATTAATATATAGGCCTAATAATTATTATGTATAGAGAGAACTGCATCAAGATGCATAGTATTATCGGGACACCTTCAAACAGGATAAATTCAAAAATAACGTTAAAACAAGTCAAAACATGCTAAACAATATTAACACACCATTACATTATTGTGTTTAAGTTTGTTTTCGTTGCCTTTAAATATGACATTAATAGTCTCTCACTATTGAACACTACAATATACATAATAATATACAGTACATGTTATGTCAACTAATATCTATGACGGCAGAAGAGACTTTTTATTGTGAGAACGGCAAGCAACACAAGTAGACCTACTGTAAATAAGTTGTAATAAGCGATGTTGTAATAATCACCGCACTCAAAAAAGTGTTATAACCTCGATTATTTAGTAATATTCATGGTATGTACACAATTAATACATTTCATAATCCGCACGTGACAAAATGCCAACAAGGACTGTAAAAACGGATATAGGCCAGATTGTCGAAACCCCAGTTTGCCGAATACCAGATTGTCGAGTCCACTTTTTTGATTCCAAGTTTGCCGACTCAAAATGATTTTATTTGTCGAAACGCAGTTTGCCGAAAGTCAATTAAAAGCAGTAAAGCATCCAACAGCGTATTTCACGAAGGAGCACCATGTATTCGTATAATAAATATTTATCAATAGTATAATGATTCCTTTTGTCTTATATTCTGTAAATCAAACTTGATTAACAATCAGGCTATCACCAAAAAAATTAGGCCTATCTAATAAAATAACTTATACGCATCTATAATAATAACTGTATATGAAGTTTAGTTCAGAAATTTACCGACGGGGGAGTTGGGGGGTCCGAATCAAGGAACCTCGGCTGACTAAAGCCTCGGCCTTGCCTTCAAGCATTGAATTGTTGTTTTCCAATATTTTCTCTTTTAATTTGTATATAAAAACGGCTCCTCCCTGACTCGCCCATCATTTTTCAAAAGCACAGTATGCTGTACCGCTGGGTGCTGTACTTTTGTATACGTACGACGGTGATCTGGCAAACCAGGGTTTCGGCAAACCGGGTTTCGGCAAAATGGGTTGTCATGATTTCGGTGAACTGGATTCGACAAACTGGACCTCGGAAAAGTAGTCAATGGACTCGGCAACTGGGTTTCGGCAAACTGGGTTTCGACAAACTGGTCGGATAACTTAAAAATAAATGTCGACAGCGATTAGTACCGTCCAGCCAGCAAGATTTTGGCCACCAGTCAATTTGCCCCTGAGCAGGGAATTCGCCTCCCACCTGTCCGAAATTATAGAGCGCCGAATTCACTAGGATTTATAATGTGGGAAGGTACAGGGATTAAGTGGAAGATAAATTCTTAAAACGTTTATAATTAATTTAGCGATCCCCAGGAAATTTAAACAGTAATAATAATATTTATTTGGAAATCGCTTCCGAAACAGCGGCACACACATAGAGTGATGGTACATCTATACACAAGGGGAAATATAATCACATCAATCAATGAAGAAAAAAAACCCTGAAAGCCAGTTACATCAAAGGGGCATAAGCCTAGTATAGGCCTAGCCTAGTACTGTACAATGTAAGGAAAAGGGAATACAATACAGACAACCTTTCAGAGATTCATTAACAAAATTGTGAATGAATTTTATTTTATGTGACGATATTGGTGGCAGCAAACATTGCATCCTACATACAAACGCCCAGAACCAAGATCGATGATAGCGATGGAAAGCGAAAAAGTAGCGTCGTCAAAAAACGACAACACAGCTCAGGAAACAAATACTAATAAATTTTCAAATGATGGCAGCTTCATGGAACAGTTCAAAAAGAGTATGGAAAAGCAGAAAAGCAGCAATAAAGAGGAGAAAGATGTAAAGTCAACTAACTCATGTTTAGGCCTAGGCCGTGTTGAGGGTAATGCAGCAGGAGATGTACTGAATGGATCCAGGGAAAGGCCATGTCCTACTGCCACCAGCAGAAGAAGTCCAGAGAATTCGCCTAAGATTGTGGACACTTCAGAAGTACAATCTTCATCAGAAAAAAACAAAACTGATGCGACACAAGTTGGCATTAAAACTGGCTCTGAAGATCAGAGTTCTGAATCACCCGCAGTAAAAAAGAAACAGAGCGTTTTATCATTCGTAAGAAAGAGAATTATATCACACAGGCCTAACAAAAATAATGACATGTATCATAGCCTAGGTTAGAGTAGGCTTAAAGTTAGGTAAAGTAGCAACACCTTGGCTTTTCCGTACTGTTTCTTACTTTTTTTTGTTGATGATGATTTGTGAGTATTTGAATGAAGAGTACATATATTATTATTAATAGTAATTGATACATGTATTGTGTTATTTCTTAAACCTCCATGGGGCCTTTCATTGTGATTGTGTAGGCCTATGTTTTTTATGAGAGAGGTAGTCTACACTGTAGAGAGTTAAATAAGAAATACATTTGGACTGGAATCATCTAACCTAGGCCGGCTCCACATTGTAAAGTGTGGAAGACAGTGCTAAACAAAAGCTCTCTGTTTTAACTAAAGTATGTATTATAAGTGACACCCATACGATCTCTCACTGGCAAAAGTCAGGTGCACCAAATCTTTTTTTTATCCGGAAAACAGGCCCACTTTCATTATTTCAAACCACTGGCCCCAAATCGGTTGAGTGGGGCGCAGGCCCGTTGCCAGGGGGGTTTTATGGTTTCGGCAAATCCCTTTTTCTAGCAAAACTCCCTCTTTTTTGGTGAACCCCCCCCCCCCTCTTTTTTGGTAACAACCCCTCTCCCCCCCCCTCAAATTTCCAGAATGAGTCCTCCAACCTAACTAATTCACTTAGACCCACCCAGACTCGAACAGAATGTTTTGCTGCAGACCGTTTTCAAACGTAACTGCTATTTTAGTATTGTTTAGTCTCATAGAACACAAAAAAGCCTCTGGCTTTGAGGTTTTGCCGACCTCGCCTGGGCTTCGACCCTGAACCTCACGCCCAGAGAACCACCCTTGGAAGAAACTGGCTATAGGCCTGGGGTACCTTTAGGGGCTGAACATATAAAAATACTGTAAATTCTTAAATAACTAACTGCTGCAGCGTTTATGCAGTTTTTGGAGAGTTCAATGTGGTGCTTATTGGAGAGCGGCCCTTAGTATGTACTTTCGATTAAGCGATGTGGCGCTTATTCAAAATACAGGTTTAGGTTCAAAATACAGCGCTTAGTGAAAACAACCATGTTTGGTGCGGCGCTTATTCAAGGATTTACAGTACACCAAAATATGTCCTTATGTCAAAAATGCTGACAGGGTGATTTCCCCATCCCCCTCATTCCCCCATCATGGCCAAGGAGACTAGTGTAGTAGGAAGCCTAACTATTGTTAGTCACTGCATGTATGCCTAGTTTTGGAACACTTTCAGTAAAAGGTTAGTGTCATGTTTATTTCGCTAGGTTGGGAAGAGACCAGGGTCGAAGTTGACCCTCAAGACAGGTCAGGTGAAGAAGAAACGCCAGGAGAAGGTAACGTCATCCATAAATGCCTTTGAAGGTTGTGCTTGGATCTAAAAATACTTCATATTAATATACCTGTATGTTTTTTTGACAAACATTTCAAATAGGAATTCAGTGCAATTATGTATTTCATACCGTATGTAAAACAATCACGTAAATATATGAGGCCCACCAACCATCATTGGTCACCTTGTTTTTTACAGCCCGACACCATTTGTTAAAAGTAACAGTAGAACTGAACATGAAGTGGTATAAAAGCAGTCCGTGAAAGGTTTTGAAAGCACACTGGAAAATCTAAGTTTGGGTGCAGCCCTCGGTGCTGAAACAAAAATTCACTTTCATTCTTATGCCAACCCCTGCTCTAGAACTGTCTCTTATACTAGAGGGCTTCTGAAGGACACTTGTGTATTCACCGTCTTCTGGTACCACCAAAGCCTGCAAAGATAAGATTACTTGCTAAATTTTCATTTTATCACAGTATTATAGTCTGTCTCTTATACACATCTAGATGTGTATAAGAGAAAGGTGTTCCGGTACAGTGTAAAGTGTATTATGCCCAAAGAATTTAAAATTATAAGTGTTTATAAGTCATTTCCTACAGGGTGCTTGGCCTGTCTGACAGGGCCCCTGCTCTTCACTGCCTCAACTGCTCTGTTGTCAAGATCTGCATCTGATCACAAGTTGAGTTCAACATAAATGTACTGACAATGTAGTAATTTTCTTTATAGGATGAGGAAACCGAACCAAAGGATGCTTGGTCAAAGTATATGGCTGAAGTTGAAAAGTTCAGGAAAGGGCTTGATGAAGATGGTAAAAACAGACCACTTATCAAATAACCACAAAAATTACATCCATCTTCTTAAGTGTGTTCCAGTTCAGTTTAAACAGGACTTATTTGGTTTGCTTGAGAATAACAACACAAAAATAAAAGTTATTTTTTTTTTCTATTCTAGGAATGTACTGTAGTTATACAGATAAATCTTATATTTTTCTGTTGATCAGAATAAATTAAATTTGATTTCAACAAAATTATGTACAGTAGTATCTACATTATGATTCTTAGTTCTTGGTAATTTCTTTTTATCAAAATATGTACCTGTTTTTTTTGTAATTTAGGTACAGTAATTTTAAAATTAATACAATAATTTCAAGCAAGCAATATAAAGTACAGCATTTACCGTCTCATTACAAAGCGTACTGCAAGCAGTTATAAACATAAGTATAATAATTTCCAGTAGTGTATGATTGATATGCAACTATACTAATAGTTATTATTATTATATTCTGTGTATTTTAACAGTTATTATTGGTTTTGTTGAATTACAGTAATTAAGGTTAATTTTAGGGGCATTGAGTCAAAATAATGCTTTTTGCAATACGTAATTCAAGTCAATCTTGAGCTTCCACGCCATTAGCGTAACCCCCAAAATATATACCCAACGTTATCCAGGGTAGTCAGAAATTCATGCTTAATAATTTACGAAAATGCATAACTTCTCGCAGTTATCAAAATCTGTTTTAATGATTGTACATACATACATACATACATACACATGCTATGGAGGTAGTAATTGCATGTATGCTGCAATGCAATTGTGCATTAACGGATCAGTGATTCTTTTCCTATCCATCATTTTTTGTATTCTATTTACCATAATTTTCAATTGATGCTGGAATTGTATTCAATATTGAACATTTATTTTATGGTAATCCACAATTTGTGTAAAATCAGTGGAAAAATATAAACAAATGACTACATACAGTAGCTGGTCTCACTATCAACAATATGTTAAATGTTTCATAACAACAGTCACATTTGACAGATTCTGAGATTTAAATGATTTTTTTTTTATTATGTTCATCTTTGTAAATATCTACAGTTTTGCAATAAAAGACCAACTTGTGTACAAGAATATCATTATTTTCTTTGTTGCCTTTAATTGTATTAATAATAATCTTGATAAGTTTAAATATACAATAATAGTGACATTAGTTGATTCAGTTTTACACAAACATTACAGTACTATAAATACAACAGAAAAAATTACAGTACTCATTATATATAAAAGTATTGAATTGATTACCAGTTAATTTAAAAATCCAAGATTGTTTTCTAGTGAAAGCTAAGAACTGTAATACATAAATACTGTGCACCCTAAATATTGTATTAAGAAAAATAATTGTAGTATTGTATTGTTGATATATTATTTTTATCATTCTGGACATAGTACAGGTAAGATTTTTAAAGTATGAGAGTAAAGTTTCAGGGAACCTACATGTCCATATTCTTAAAATTTTCTCCCCTCAGCCCCAACCTTGGTGGGGCTGAGGTGGTTTTGACTTTCACACACCCCCTACTGCCAAATCCTGTATCTGCCCCAGTGTACCAGTAATTATTTCATTTACTATGGCTATTTGAAGACTTGGTTACTGACAGAGGTGTAATGGCTATGAGCTCTCACTGGCTAAAAAGCCAGAGGCCTGGAGCCTCAAAGGCCCCTGCCGACTTCAAATTATTTTTTTTACAAACAAATAGCCCCAAGTCCCTTTTCAAAGCCGAAATCTGCTGAGTGAAATTAAACCATGAGCAAAAGCACTGACACACGAATATGATACATATGTTTTTGTCCATAAATATTTATTGATTTTAATTGGCTTGTTTTGTTTGGTATTTATTGTAATAATAATTAAGTACGCTTGTTTTGTACGCCAGTACGCCACTGGTCACTGAAATGCATTTTACTAACATGAGAATTCTGGAATATGTGTTACTTGCTACTGACAACCTATTTTTAACTACCTAACAGAAATAATTAGAATTTTAATAAAGAATGTACACACAATCAAAAGTTAAAAAAGTTTACCCAATAAAAGCTATCTACAGACAAAATAATTAATTTTAAAATGTTATGCAAGTAGGCAATATTGCCTCTTACAAAAGTCAGCTATTCTAAGAATAATTTTAAAGTGGTGTGCAAGTAGGCCATATGCATGTCTTAAATAACACTACATATTGCATTACACACAAACAAAATTAGCCATTTAGGATTAATTTTTAAAATGACACAGAAGTAATAGTACTTATCTTCCTCAACCTCACTGGTACATCCAAAAAACTTGCCTTTTCATTCACTTGTCCATCTATTTTATTCAGACATAGTAGCATAGCCTCAAATTCACCATGAGGTAAAAATAGTCGAACTTGTACAGGCTATAGTGTCCATCTCCCTTTCTTCAGACTGTGCAATGGTGTAAGGAGATTGCCACTCCTTACAACGAGTCTGTTTACATTCCCAGCATATGTACCCATTTATACTCCTGGGTTCATCTTTCCCAAGAACTGAAGTGCCCTGACTTGTGGCTTACTATATCAAAATTATTAAAACGTGTGAAAAATCATGCATATGGCCCCTGTTGCATACAACCCTAGAGGGCTTCTGAAGGACACTTGTGTATTCACCGTCTTCTGGTACCACCAAAGCCTGCAAAGATAAGATTACTTGCTAAATTTTCATTTTATCACAGTATTATAGTAATGCAGTACTCTATAAGGTTTTTACAATTTTCTTTGTAATCAGTGGCAGATTCAAAGGGGTCCCAGATCCCCCTAAATTGTTAAATTTTTTACGAAATGAAGATATAAAGAAAATTATATTCAAATTTTAAGAATGAGAGTGCAATTTTCCACCATCTAGAGCAGACATGCCAACCTTACAAGGCTTTTGAGAGGAGTTTTGGCAATGTCAGCGGAGTATGTTAATTTTTTTCCTAAGATATATGGTACCAATTTGATCGAGTATTATCGGCATATTTTAAATGGTGTTTTTCGAGCCTACGCTTACTTAGAAAGTCAACACCACACAGATCACGAGTGTAGTTATCACCTAGTATTGATTTCAAAATGTCAGGATACTTCTCGTTATAACTTGCACGCAATGTTTGCATGTGTTTTACCTTGTTTTTTGGAGGAAGCAAGCTCCACCATACTCTAGTTTTTTCAAGCACTGCCTAGGCCTACATTCACATCGCTGTCATTGGACTCCATTTTGGTACCTGTGCTTTAATAAACTGTTGTTCTTGAGAAATCAGTAGACCAAGGAGCGTTTTACAATTCAGAGTGCAGTGCAACTGTCTGCGATTTGGACAATGAAATTTGTTTTTTCGAAATCAGTAGACCATGGAGCGTGAATTATCTTATTGAATAGAGTTCAGAGTGCAACACTGACAATGATATTGCCAATGAAATTTTTTTTCTAAATTAGTAGACCATGGTGCACGAATTACTTTTGCGTATATAGTTCAGAGCGCTGTTCAGGACGAAATTAACCGGTCTTTTTCTTATCTAAATCAAAGGGTTTTATTATTCAGAAATGCGTGATTTATTTCAGCTGCATAAAAAGTGGAGGTTTGCTTAAATAAACGGAGTAACTCTCACCGAAATCGGAGTGGTTGGCATGTCTGTCTAAAGGTACCATAATCCATAATCACAAACTTTCTTGCCTCAGCCCCAAACATAGTGGGGCTGAGGTGGTATAGATCCTCCATCTGTGAAAGTACCTCCTTGGGCCCCCTTTATATTGAATTCCTGGATCTGCCACTGTTAATAATAGTCCTATTATGTCTATAGAGTTATTAGAATATTAGGGTGTTAACTACAAGAGAAACCAAGGATGCTTAAGTGTCTTATTAGATAATTGCATATTTGCAGTTATTTAATCAGTAAAACATCTACTGTTTCATAATCCTTTTGATTTGGCAATTCTGTATTCCTATAACATCTTTTTAAATGGCTTCCATACAAAAATTAATAAGAATCATAGGAAGCGAAGTACAGTAATAAGAATTGAAGTAAACCATATCTAAGAAATATGTGAAAGGGCCATGCTCACTAAACTTAACATAGTCAATAACAAAAAGCACCCACTAATGAGCAATATCAGATTTAGTCAATCAAGTGGTTACTCAAATCAAATACGAATGGTTTTTACAGCATCCAGTATAGATCAAGACAAGTCAAAATAAACACTAAATAATAGTATAAATACTAAATTGTTGTAAAAAATGTCAAATTTCAATTTATTCATACCTGAAGCTGTTCGAGTCCCTGTACTGCCTCCTGAGCTTCCTCCACCAAAACTTCCAAACCCACCACCATAACTTGGCCTTGATGCATAACCAAAGCCGGTTCTTGGACGAGCGTAACCACCATATCCTCCGTATCCCCCATATCCATAACCACGACTGAAAAGATAAGGTCAAAATTAAGATCATCTAAATTAAGGGTCATCCTGTGATTATCAAGCAAACTCTCTAGTGAAGTAAATTAAAAGACACAATACACTGTATAACAATACTCCTATTGATCTAAAATCGATTTAAGATTATAATAGTAAAAGTAAACCAGCAAGAAATAAATATATTTGATCCAATTGGAAGTTTATAATTCATGTCCTCGGTTACACACCTTTTTCTTCATGAACCAAAATTCAAATCTACAGTACTATGGATAGACACAGCATGAAGAACTACTTTTACATTACATATAGTAATATTATTACACCAAAGAAAACACCAAATTAGGACCTACATTTCTAATTCTGGTGATAAAAGTTTTACTGATGATGACATCAGCCCTACTCTGGTGGTGGTTATAACCCCATCTTTTGCAACTGCAGACTACAGTAATTTGGTTCTGTTAAATGACAAAGCAATGGTTCATTTGGGTTTTTATATTTCCTAGATTTCACCCTGGATCTTTGTATAGGTAATGAAGTGCAGGAACACTTACTTTCCTCTGTTTCCAAACATGTACCCTAGCAAACCACCTGTAGCTGCTCCAGTCCAGAACCCACCTCCACCAGCATTACCACCTTGGTGTCGATATTGTGTACCGGCACCGGTACCACAGCTACCAGACTGATACTCAGGACGGAAACCAGGAGGAGGGGGATTACCTCCACCGAACCCTCCTCCTCCCCCACCTCCCCAATAGCCTTGTCCACCACCATAACCATCATCTGCCTGCCCTGTTGCCACAGGGGTCTCGATACAGGTTTTGTACACTGCATAAATGATCAGTGCAACTATCGCTAAAGTAATCCAGTCACCAAATGAACTCTGGCTTTTACTAAAATAAAGAAAATAAAGAAAAAAGCAGATTAAAAAGTGTTGGACTGGATTTATTCAGTGTAAGCACCAAGGATAGCCCACAAAGTCTAGAAGAAGACTTATTTCCAGTGGGGTCCTTCTGGTGGTGATTGGCCAGTACACCGGGAGACAATCCCTACTCTTTTCCAAAGAGTGTACTGCGTTCTTGAACGTGCATATAGGCCATAAATGTACACAGGACCAATGACTTAAACGTCTAATCCGAACGAAGATGCACTATTGTAATGAGGCAGTGATGGGAAATTGAACTGGGATCTCCACGGTTCAGTGCACACACAGCGGCTACCACCAGATAGCCAACTGAGCTAAGCTGCTCTCTCAATGGAAGTCTCTGTTAATGGAAGTCTTTCAGTACTGACTAATTCACATTCAAATAATAATAAATATTTAAATATTAATCTGACATTTTAAATAATAAAGTGCTTAACAAGCTACAACAATCTACTTAAAAATAGAAATAGTCTGCTTTGTATAAATTTGCAACTAATTTTTTACGAAACTAAAAATGATAATAGTGTCCCAATAACCGATGCTCTCGAATATGCTTGAAAAAGTTGATTTGATTTTGAGAGAATATTGTCAAACTACTTTCATCTTTAAAAAAATGACAACCGATGGTTATCATTTAGTACCAGTCATGTTGTGGCTTGCTTGGGCCTACAGAGACATTCTGTTCAGTAATCTGCTCACCTCCTTTTCTTTTAATTGTCAAAATATAACAGTTTGTAAACTTTTTTTATGGTAGTCCTTAATTTAGTGGTTTCATTTATTTCTCAAAATGTTTAGAGGTATAACAACAAAATAAAAACTGACTATATTTTAAAAATTATAGTTGCAGCCATACTGTCACTGCCTTCCAACGAAATACAGAGAGGTACAGTGTGGACTGTAGCCCACCTAACATTAAACCCTTTATCCACCCCTGAGAATACTTACTATTTATGGCCTCCGCCGTAGCTGTTACCGCCACCATAGTAATTGTGTTGATGGTTTTGCTTCTGATGGCCTTCTTTTGTAAGATCAATAGTATACTCCAACTAAAGTACATCAAATAAATATAATGATTACTATCATTTCTTTTGATTTTTGATGATTTCTATTATTATTTTGCCAAAATCAGTAACAGGGACTCAAACAAAAATTTTTTTTGTATATATCTACATTCTGCACATTATAAGCTTTAAAATGATAGGTCACTTACTGGAATAGACTTACTATTGCTGAAGTTATGAGTAAAAGTATAACAGCTTCTCTGTACTAAAATACACAATAATGCCACATTCTTATGCTAATTGCTCTGTTTACCATTTAGTGACAGTATGCTTTTGGGATGGAAAGTCTCAATTATTTTTATTACAAGCATCATCTCTATTGTTATCATTAACATTTAAAGTATAGGCCTAGGATTATTATTCATAATTTTTTTCCATCATCATCAAACCCTAATCCAAAACCATCAACATATTTAATGAAGAAGTCAAGTTTTAATCGCACCAAGTATATTTTTCCTGCATATGTTTTTGTTTCTTTTTCTGTGTCATGTCCATTGCCTGTGTCATGCACACTTACTGTACATATTTTTATTCCTTGATGTCAAGTCCCATCTGAGGGACCCTTCTGAATACTCAACGTAAATGTAACCCATCACCACCACCACCACCAACACTACTACCACTACCGTTACCACTTCATGTGGGTTATCATGTGATTATTATTATAAATAATACAATAATCATATGCGTTAAGTTTGGGAATACATTTTGTGTTATTTTCCCCTTAACATCATGTTATTTTCCTCTTAACGTCGTTTTTTTAATTGTTCTGTAATTTCTCCATTGTCTAAGTTCCCCTTAAGGTAGGTTTTAGTAACATAAATATTATAACTATTAATATTATTATTAATATTAGAAGTAGTACTACTATAAGCTAATCCAAATCTACTGTTACTTGAAGGTTAACATGAGATTCCCTTGGTCTCATCACTGCTACATTATAATTTGTAATTTAAATTTTATTATTAACTCAAATAAGAGACTGATAGGTAACAAAGGGATCAGGTCCCTGTAGAAAGTACCTATCAGAATAACATAACAATTCAATAACAATAAATAGCACACAATAAATAATATTGAATATTGTACTATTAAGTACAAAGTGCTTTCTTTGTATCAATTATGCTTAATTAAATGAAAACAAAAGGAAGTTAAAAGAACATTATAACTGAATGTAAAAGAAAAACCTATTAAGAATACCTTACCCCACATGAGCCCCGCAGTATGTATTCATCATCAGGGTGGTCATACCCTTCACATATCACCTCGATCTTGCCAAACCGGTAAGCATTGTCCATGTCAGACTTGCACTCCCACTGCAAAAAACCCAAGGAGCAAAAATCCAAAAAGTATGAAGTTAGTAAGCGACGATACTGATGGAATCTTTAAATTACTTGATAGTGCTAGAGATGTTTATATGTAAAGCCTGGTCAATCCAAATACAAACAAAAAATCAAGGGTAAATGTACTCTCCAACACTTTACCAGCCAAAATTCACTGGATTAATGATGGTCTGGCCATTAACACTCTGCCCGCCAAACACGGAGATCTCCGTGTTTGGTAATGCAACGCTTGACCGCTAAAAATGGGGTAATTACCGACATGCACAAACAATTTGAACACTATATTCAGTCTGGACCGTAAGTATTTCACTATTTGCTTGTTTACATTAGCATAGAGAGGTACTGATTTACTTTCACTCAAGCAAGGACTGCACCAAAGTGTCATAGAGTAAAAGGTGATATACAAGAAATTTTAACTTCATCATTTTTATAAAATACTTTTTTTTTTCATAAAAGATAGCTGATTGTTACATATACCCCCTCCCTTTACTATACTTTCCATTTCAATACTTTAAGTACACTATTTTGTAAAGCAAATTGACCTAGCTTAGCAGTCCTAGATCACATCAGACTAACCTGGACATCATAGCCATCAGATCCACGGTTGTAGCACTGTACAACTTGAGGTCTAAATGCTGAGCAACCAGCTGTACCACCTATGCATTGCAGCTGTAATAATCAAATAAGTAAAATAACATTTATCAATCAATATTTTAATACTACTCTCATCTGTTGAATAGACGATGCACTGAAGTTTATAAAATATTATATAAGGTACCTCAGTACTTATATAATGTTTACTATCTGAATTCAGAAATAAACTGTACACTATCAAACATTGTTTGTGCAAATAATAACAGATTTTAAAAATCTGATAGTGTAAGCCAAATGCCCTGTCCACACTATCAAATTTTATTTGACAAAAACATGTGACTTCCCTTGATGACATCACATCATGACCATATATAGGCACATCATGACTACATATGGGCATACAACAGTTTTTGTCAATGAAAATTTGATAGTGTGGACAAGCTCTATTCATAATAAATCTTTGGCTCTTCAGCGGGTACAGTTATTTAGATTTCTTAACTTATTAAAAATAAAGTATTGTTCAAGAAAGAATCAGAAACCGACTTTTATAAAACTTGCAATAGCAATACATAAACCCTTTAACGAGGTAATCACTTTCGTGAGTTTAGAAAATGAATGAGGAAGGCAGGGGCTGCTCATGCTTGGCCGGCTCTAGGAGTCGACTGTTCTATTATTGTTCGAGGGGTGTTTCTCTTCTGAGAAAGAATAGGCAATTTGTTGGTTTATCCAGGTAAGTATTCACAAAGTAGACTGTTCAAGAAAGAGGTATAATAAGAATCTTTAATGAGTTTACTGTTGGAGAAAATTGAATGTTCTGAGTAAAATATTTAATCATGAAAAAGGGTTACCTGTTTCACTGGACTTGACCTACGACCTGTGGTCATATATCCATCCTTTAGAGTTAGCACACTTACATCCTGTAAACGGACACGTTCTTTGTTACCTAAAACAAATAATCAGTTAATGAAATTTAACACAGAATCTTTTGAAATAAAGTACATGGAATTGCTTATTAAAGTTACAAACTTTTAATACAGATTACACAAGTAGACTGACACAATTAAGTTTTCCTAGAAAAAATATCAGACAATTTAACATTTTGAAAGGGCTAATTAATAAGTTTAATGTTTTATATTTTGTGAAAAAAAATGTTCTCCCTAGCAGGGAAGAGGGATGGGGCAGGAGGGTTTGGAGCTGGGTGCCACTACTGCTGTTTCCCCAGATGAGAGCATTACTGGTGGGGGACAGAGACTGCCCAGAAAGAAAGCCTCAGATGATGAGGAAGACGGCAGGAGGATTTGGTGGTGATTGACACCTGCTGCCACCCCTGTTTAATATCAAGCCTTGTAATTGCTCTCATTTGTAAGCAATGGGCAATAAAAATAATGAATAGAAAAAGGCGGATGCGTCAAGATGCAAACTTGTAAGTTTCATTCTCGTGTTCTAACCTTGGAACAACTTAAAATAATTTAAAAATCTTTTTTACTAAGAAAATTTTAAAAAGTCATTTACCAAACAGTGCATTTCCAAATATCACATTGCACAAAACAACAACTATCAATAATAGGTAATTTGGTGTTAATCTCCGCTGCATTTCTTATTTGATTTCTTTCTTGACTGCTGGTATATAATAACTCACATAAATGAAGATATTGTTTTGTTGTATCGCCAAGAAATTCCTGTTAAAAAAACAATATACAGGTAGAAAATAGTCAGAAAATATTGTGTTCAAAACATTGGTTGGATTATTGCCCTGTACCAACTCATTTAGTGAAATGCTAGTTTGCCAAGTCCCCTTTGGTCGAGTGCCAGATTACCCATTATTAGCTTACGTATTTAGGCCTAGATAACTTAGGCTCTAAATTAGGCCTATAATAATATACACATAGGCTATGGTGTTAATGAGTAACACTATATTGGCATAACTTATCCTGGAGATTGTAATTCCGTCCGCGCATTTCGGAAAACAAGGGCCGACATACGTTCTAGTCAAAACGGTAATAAACCAAAACGGCAATGACTAAAACAGCAATAAAAAAACCAAAACAGCAACACTTTTACCAGAACGGCAATGGACCAAAACGGTAATAAGTCAAAACAGCAACAAAGGAAATTTAAATAAAAATGCAATCAAATACAGACAAAAAGAGGCTAAAAAAATTTATGTCATAGAAGTAAAAAATGCGAAAAACAACAACAATAATAATAACAATAATAATAATATAATAATAATAATAATAATAATAATAATAATAATAATAATAATTGGACCTAAACTAATAACAATATAACAACATACAAATTCAATAATGAAAGGATTGGGAGAAACACAATATAAAAGCAGTAAACATTCAAATAAATAATGCTTTGAAATAAGGACAAAATGAGGCATCTAAACAATTCGTCAAGGATGTGTAAAAATTAAAAAACGATGCACAGAATACCTAAAAAATCTGCTCAAATTTGAGCGGAAAATCGCCACGAAAATAGATGCAAGGAAATGTAATTGCTGCATAATTGCATTGGTTTATACAGTATTAAGAATTAGTCGAGTCCTAATTTTCGGCAAAATCTGTGCAGAAATCGGCCCTTATTTTCCGAAATGCGCAGACGGATTTCTAAGCCAAATTTTTGCGCAGAGGATATATTCACCGAGCAGGCCTTACTACTACTACTGCTACTACATACAGTTTGGATGCCTCCTAGGCCTAAGCTAAGCTGGCCTAGGCCTATGAGGTAAATCATATTCCATAAAAGTGGTAGTGGTGCCTTCTTATCAGTTGCTGGCACTAATCATGGAGGAAGGCAACAATATCTAGTCCAGGCCTAGGTATTCTACCACAAACCTAGGCCTAGGTAAGGCACTACTAGTACTTCTAGGCCCTACACACAGTCTACTCTCGTAGTAGGAGGCCTAGGCCTATCCATAATTAATAGAAGAGAGGCCTTCTAGCCTAGTCTCTCTAGGCCCTAACTAGGCCCCTACCTACTTCTTCCTGTATATCTAGCTAGAGGTTAGGCCTACCTTATTAAACTATATCCACCACGATCTAAGAGTAGGCATAGATCTCTTTATAACAGACTAAATAATAAACAAACCTTTACCGGTGTATACTTGGAATGAAGAATGAAGGAGAATTAACTTGCAGAAGGAAATATCTTTAATGTCATTTTTTCTTATTTTCTATTTTTAGACTAAGGATCTATCCTGGCGCCCCCTATTGTTGGCTTATGCAATGTCGCAAGAAATCTGCTATTGACACGTACGTTAATTGTCAAAATAAGTTAAAATCACTGACGTAATGCAAACTGATGCAATCCTTGTTGTTTAAAGAATATTATTAATAATAATAAAAATAATAATAATAATAATAATAATAATAAAATTTTTAATAATAATAATAACAATAACAATTAACAATTAACAATAACAATGACAATAATAATAATAATAATAATAATAATAATAATAATAATAATAATAATAATAATAATAAATAAAAAATAGATATTTGAATACTTTGCCAAACACAGCTAGACTTCACCTATAGTACTTCATTTTTTCGTAATTTTTATATCGTTCATAATAGGCCTGGGGTCTATTTATTATTATTTGATTGCCTGTGCATATTTCGCCAATATGCCAGGGACATATATAAATACAAAGCAACAAATGATAATTGTTGTTGAGTCCATATTATTAAATTTACAATTCACGTTGTCTGAGGTGGCCTTAATATGAACAGATCAATCTATGAATCAGTGGCATATCTTGAAATTGGGGAGTACGTAAAGACAATTGTATATAAAATAAATGTTACAGTCTATAGAAGTTATTTCTTCCAGATATTTTTTGTCGGCGGGGTGTAGTTTCAGATTTTTAGCAATCGGTTAAGTTGATTGGAGTGGAGTGTGGTTAAGATGTTGTCTTCTTCTTCCATGGTCCTAGGTTCAATCTGTCCAGGAGACCTTTTTTCACGGCTAAAAACAATTCAATAGATTAGATAGGATAATTGTTATACGAATAGATAGGTTAATTGTAAAGAATGTACCATCCTGTAAGGTGATGAGTGTCCTTGCTGTTGAATATAAGGAAATCACTGGCACCGGGTTGCCACCACCTTTGGATCCACCACTGTTTAAATTGAAGTTCCTTAATTTATTTAAGAATGATTGTAACAATTATTTTTTTTTAATCAAAAGTAAGCTAATTGAAGTTAAAATATTTCTTACTTTCAATGAAAATTGTTACTCGATCGACTCATTGTTTTAGACTATCCAATTTTACGCCTTCTATAAATCTGATACTGCAGATGAAGATAAATTGTACCGTGTGGCCTACCAACAATGCTTTAGCTATAAGAGTCCAATCGTCTTGCGATTTAAACGAGCAGAGTAAAAAACAAGCTAGGCCATGAGGATAATGGAGGCAACTATTGTATTAGGCCTACTACAATATTACACACACACTCTTTAGACTTTGTCACATGCGTGGGAAAGCGCTAGTGACGCACAGTACGACTAGATTGGATCCGGTTGGACGAGAAACTTTTTCTGGGAGCTCACACACTGTTAACACTAATATAATAACAATTATAATACATTCATGTGCAATCGAAAAAAAAAACAAAAACTGCCCGTTGATTATAATGTGACAGAAGTGTCAAAGTGATCAAAGACTCGCTGCGTGTGTGGTGACGTCATTTAAAACCTGGTTTTGAGTTTTACGGTCTGAATGAAAGGGTCATAGGTTAGGTAGAGATTCTGCACTGCGCATTGAATCTTAAAAACGGGACTTAGCCGAGGGCCTAGCTAGGTCTTTATTTCTAAAAAAATAAGGCATCATGGATCTCACGGATCTCTATGGCAATCCAGTCGATTTCACGAAGCTAAGAGATAATACAGAATTTATGCGATTCAAGAATTTTGTAGATTTACCAGCTACAAATGGTCTGTATAATACCGTGAGAATGACTGGAGGCATGGGTACCTATGGTAAGTTTGGTAACCGTAAGCAGAGAGGGTTGCCGCTGCCGAGGAGCCGGCCACTACGAACGGGGTTGGGGCCTAGGCCGTAGCCTGCCTTCCGGGCTAAAAACTAGTTACGTAGACATAAAAACAGGGCCTAGGCCCTAGTAATCAATAATCCGAGCCTAAGGAAAAAGGGATATAAATTACACAGTAAATAATAGATCAGTAGGACTAGGCCTAGATGATCATGATTAATTTTTTAAATTATTTTTTCCCCAATCGATGTGCATTTTAATTTCATTTATTTATTTGACGATCAAAATACATAATCTAGGCTAGGGCTTAGGCCTAGCTTCCATTTACACTTACGGTAATATATTTATTAAATTTCATTTGTAAGTACTGTGTGTGTGTAACAACATGTTTTGGTATTTTCTCTATTTTCATTTCATTCTCGATTCAACAGGAGTGTTAATTGGTATCTGGACACTTGGTTTGAAACGTCCAAAAACTGCAAAAGTTGCTCTTCAGCGAGTGGCAACGACTTCTGCTTCTTGTGGTAAGTAGCATTTATAAAAAAAACTGTCATATTACTTGGTATTTGCTATTCTATGGCTGGAATACTTTTGGCCCTTTTAAAATAGTTTTATAATTCATAAAATGTTGATACTGTAATTAATATTTATTACATAGTACTGTATAATGATGATTTTTATGGTTATTGAATAGTTTGTAAATCATTGCTAATCATTTATATATTTGTAGCTGAGTTTATAATTGCATAAAATGTAAATAATTAATTGAATTTAATTGATGTTAATTGAATGAAATATTTTCCACTTTTTTGTCTAATGAATTGCTCATAAATTGAATTTTTTTTATTGAAGGAATGTTATTGTTCGAATGTTTTTTTATATACTTTTTATGTACTATTTTTATATTTTTCATTGTATTTTGATGTTCTTTTCTTGTTTTTATTTGTTTGCCTTAGAGATTTAAGAGATTATTTAATTTCTTTTAATGAAATAATATTTTTGTAGTAGTTTAAGTTAATAATTGAATAAATTCAATTGTAAATTATTATATTGACTATTCACCCTTAATAATTATTATGTATATTTTGTATTATTATAAAACCTAAATGTGTTTCTTGAATTTTTAGTCTTTATTTTTATATTTTTCATTGTATTTTGATGTTCTTTTCTTGTTTTTATTTGTTTGCCTTGGAGATCCATTGATAGTGTTGTACACTTTTGGTAATCCTTGGGGTTTTTTTTTGTTTTTGTTTATCTGGAAATTTAATAAATAAATAAAAGGTGTGTTTTGATCAAAAGCAGATGTTACTTGGCTTTAACCATCTTAACGCAGAATACATTTACTATTACCGGTTAGAAACATTTCAAGATCATTATTTTTCCTAAGCAATAGGTACTTTTTATTATTTCCAGCTGCCCTTGGAGCTGTATTTGCAGCATCTACATCAGTAGCTGCAGGAATCCGTGGCAAAGATACTCCCTTGAACTATGCCATTGGTGGCGCCTCAGCTGGTTTTGTAACCGGAATCTTATGTAATTACCTTTTGTTTACTTTGTTTTAAAAAAGTTCTTATTTGTACAATAAAGATTACAGTAGAATATTTATTTCTTGAAAATATATTATCAGGGTGACCTAATCAATTGCTGTACTTTAAAATGAGTTGAATAATTAAAAAAAAAAAAATCTTCGTCTGTTTTCCCAGAGGCGAGGGCTGTACAGTTAGCTGTAAGGTGGGCGTATCCTGCGAGACCTTTTGAAAATTGTTCTCTATGTTTTCTTCACAGTTAGAAGTTTCGCAGTAGGGAATGGAATGGCTGCTGTGTTTGCTGGTTCAGCCGCACTTGCCAAGCATTGGATTATGGAAGGCTATCCAGTTGGCTATGAAAAGCCACAGTTTTGACAAAAAAATATATAGAGTATATGACATGAATTGCTGTGTTTTGCATGTCAACAGTATTTGGGATTTTATAATTCAAGCCAGGAAGTAATATAACATTGGAAAGTTAGTTGGAAGGATAATTTACAATAATAAATTTTCAGTTGTCATCAAGAGAAAGCAAAGCTGCAAGACATTATTGTCCAGAATTGGCCAACCACTCATCATATTTTAACATTTCTCTGGACTTCACCACTTACAATGAAAGTTCTGCTGAATGTTATAATAGAAATGGAATATAGTAAATGATTTCAGTATTTAGTGGCCATGATTTGTAAATAAAATTTGTCACAATACTGTGCTGGATATATGTTTATGGAGAAAAATGTTGGTTTTTATTGTTAAGAATGGTTTGGAGGGGACATTTTTATTTTTTTGCGCATAACATGTATACTCTAAACTAAAACACATAATTACCATCAGAATGTCTTATTGTAAGATCATAAAGACTACTGATCCTGACTAGAGAAGAAAATTAATAGAATGTGTTGAGAATGATGTTGCTTCCATTAATTTTGTTTACAGTAATTTGGTAGGGGTGTGGCTGGTGTTTATTAAAGGAAAAATAAATGCCCTGGGCATTTATTCCAAATAAGGCTCTGGAGTTTATTTGAAGAATAATGTAGGATATGAATAGATGTGAAAGTGAAATATGTTTGTTGGAAGAAGAGTCAAGAAATTTAAATGAAGTGGGGAGGTGGGGAACAGCAAGGGCACTGCAGTGTAAATGACAAACGAGGTGCAGTCACCAGTGACAAAAAGTCTCCTCCTAAACCGTGTGTTACTCAACATAAATGAAATGAAATTTCACTTCACTTTTTCATTTCACTTTGAGGAAATTTCACTTCACTTTTTCATTTCACTTTGAAATGTTCATTCATTTAGGAACAAAGTCGTCAATCAACTGGCACCAAAACACCTTTGGAACTGCCCCAGTGAAATGTAATTTAGCTACACCTACATAAAATTACAGTTTTATGACTTAAAAACACAAATATATAAAACTTAACAGTACTTAAATGTACCTGTACTGTACAATAAATGGAAAGGTCTTCCTCTTTGAAGATTCAACAAATTCTTTGTTTTTTAGATTATTTTAAGCATTTATGCTACTGAATATTAATACAGTAAACAACTGTGCATGTCAATACAGTAAAATAAAGTTCTTATGGACCTTGTTTGCACATTCATAAACAATGGAAGATTAAATCACACTTTTAAATAATTTTATTGATACCTGTACTATACAATAATCTCAAAACAGTAAAAATTTGATAAATCATTAATATTATAGCAATAGCACCTATTCTTATCAATCACTCTCCAAATTTGAGTTGCTGCATTTCTTCTCTCGTTTTCTTAAGCAGCTCCTCTGCCTTTTCGCGATACTTTTTACCCACTGTAACATCTTTCTCAACACCATCCCCACGCATATACATTCTGCTTACATTAGCACATGCGTACACATGATTTGCCTCGCAACACTTTAACGAGAGTTCATAAGATTTTGAAAAGTCTTTTTTCACTCCTTCGGCTCCTTTTATATAGATTGAGCTTAAATGAAAACAACTGGCTATATGTCCTTGATTACATGAACCTTCAAGGTAACTAACAGCTCTTGGGGCGTCTTTCCTTTTATCGGATCCCAGGCCGACTTGATGCAAAAGAATGCCGGCACCGTGACAGGCATCTGCGCATCCACCTGAACAACCTTTATCAAAAAATTTGAAAGCTTCTTCTATGTTTGTATCCACTCCTAGAAAAAAAAAAATTATTGCATATAAATGAATGATATAATTAAACCAAAGCTATCCTAGCTCTCCTTGGCTTGTCATAGATGTTGTATGTTTACCTTTCCCGTGCATGTACAGGGCGCCCACTTTGTTGCAGGCCTTTGCAAACCCATAATCTTCACAGCTTTTCTTGTAGGCCTCTGCAGCTTTTGTAAAATCGCCCTTCACTGCTGCAAAAAAGTCACCCAACCTATAGCAACCTACAATAAAATAAAGCAATATTTAGAGCATTTTTTTTGTCCCATATATAACCTACGTAGTAAACAGATGCAAATACTTTGTCATACTTCTATAACTTATTTCAACAAACAGACCTGGTAGCCGTTCTGCCTTTTACCAACCAGTGGTGGCTCCAGAAATTTGCCGACTGGGGTCCAAACAAAGAGGCCGACTATAAAGCCTCCATCCTGGTCCTGGAATAAGAAAAACCCCTGGTAGGAGCTTAGCATGGTCAACATTGTGCTTTTAGGTCACAACATTTGGGATTGGCATAGGCAAATTAATATTTTTTAAATTGTAATCGTTGTAGTGTCAGATGACAGAGGGTCTAGCTCCAGGCATGTCAGCTGGCAAATTCTCCCTCTGCTGGCACCACCACTGTTACCCTCACACCATCACAAGGGACACAAGCCTGCCACTAGAATATCTTGGCAAAACAATGTCAGACTGAGACCATAACACCTGGAGCAGACATGTCAAGTCCACCTTGGCTGTGGCCGAAGGCTATGGTAATGGATATAAATTACTGTAACTTCTTGGCAAGTGTATGTTCCCACCAGGAGGGGTGGAATTTCATGGCAGGGCTGGAGAATATTTCCCAGGGGCAGGAGTGCGGAGTTATCCCCCAGGATCAGTAGGCCTAGTAGGATGCTGCATGGCTGAGAAATTTTATGAAGAACAACCAGTGGCCCTACTAGGCCTGGGGGGTGTGCGCAGTTGCACGTCACCCCTCATTGATAATGTTTAAAGCAAAAATACGCTCAAGTAATTAAAAATAACCTCCTACCACCTTATTTTTCAACCTAAAATAGGCCTAGTGTCCTCTCCACTTTATCATGAAGCCACCACTTCACCTTCGTACTCAGGCCTACATCAATCAACCTCCCCAACACCATTTCCCGACCAAATAGTATAGTGAAAAAATGGGCCCCCGTGACCATTTTTCGGGGACCAAGGTTTCTCTGCTGATTTTTTTTTTAAATGGCCGCCAAAATCAAGAGAATGGCTCATAACTTTACTTCTACTCCATGAAAAAGGGTAAATATAGTGTCTAACTATATGTTATAAGGGTCACTGAATTCAATTAGACATGTTTCAAAAACCTAGGATGGCAGCCATTTTGAAATTCAAGATGGCTGCCATAGTAATCGTTGAAAATCAAATATTCCAGTATAATTCCACTTCCTGTCGTTGAAAAATGGTAAATATGATGTCGACTCTCTGAGTCCAATAAGAATAACTTCCATAAGCTAGGATGGCAGCCATTTTGAAATCCAAGATGGTCACCACATAAATTGTCAAAAATCAAATATTTTGGTATATAATTGCATTTCTCCTCCCTTAAAAATGTGAAATTTGGGGTCTAATCATATGTTATTCACATCTTTGAGTCCAATGAACATAGTTTCAAAAACCAAGCATGTCAGCCATTTTGGAATTCAAGATGGCTGCCGTAATAATCGTTGAATATCAAATATTCCAGTATATTTCTACTTCTTATCGTTGAAAAATGGTAAATTTGATGTATTCCCATATGTTATTGGGCTCTGCAAGTCCAATAAGCAGTTTCAATAAGCTATGGCATCCATTTTAAAATTCAAGATGGCCACCACAAAAATCGTCGAAAATCAAATATTTTAGTATATAATTGCACTTCTCCTCTATAAAAAATGTTAAATTTGGTGTTTAATCATGTTATTGAGCTCACTAGTCCAATGAGCATAGTTTGAGAAAGCTAGAATGTCAGCCATTTTGAAATTCAAGATGGCTGCCGTAATAATCGTTGAAAATCAAATATTTTAGTATAATTCCACTTCTTGTCCTTGAAAAAAGATAAATTTGATGTATTCTTATATGTTATTGGGCTCTGCAAGTCCAATAAACATAGTTTCAATAAGCTAGAATGGCAGCCAATCTAAAATTTAAGATGGCCGCCACAAAAATAGTCGAAAATCAAATATTTTGGTATATAATTGCACTTCTTGATAAAAAATGTTAAATTGGTGTCCAATCATGTATGTTCCTCAATAGAAATTGTAAATTTGGTGTCTAATGACTTGTTATGGGCAATCTGAGTCCAAATAACGTAGTTTTAAAAGGATGACAACCATACGTTTTTCCAATATGTCTGCCATTATTATGTACACATTTTACCTTACAAAATGCAAAAATAATAAATCTTTAGAAATACTACCACTTATATTATATAATAAAACATAAGCATTTGTTTGATGAACCTGTCTGTCTCTTCAGGATTTTGTTAAACTCTTTACTTGATAAAAACTGGTCCTGTAACTTCATGTGTGTATTGGGTATTTTCTGCCCATTTGATCGTCATTCTCTTTCTTCATATTTGGTCGACTCTTCTTTACTGTATGGGTCATTAACACATATAATGGCTGATGCATTGTGATGTCTTTTAAATATAATATCTGTGCATTTGTTGACATAATTCTCCCAAGTAAACGAGGAACCATCTTCATTAAGCCTTTGTTCTTTATTAGGGATTGCCTTTCTGATGACCATGCCCATATCGATGATAGCAGTGTATTCTGTATCTGCAGAATTGATTTTTGTATCCATACAGTGGACAAGTTTTGATTTCTGGCATTTTCTAAATGTACCATTAGCATTGAATATGGCCAGAGATTTAGAGGTTACTCTCACCAAAGTTACAACTTTTGATGGACAAGTAGAAATTATATACCAAATATTTTATTTTTGACGATTTTTGTGGCGGCCATCTTGAATTTCAAAATGGCTGACATGCTTGGTTTTTTAAACTATATTCATTGGACTCAAAAATGTGAATAAAATGTGATTAGACCCCAAATTTAACATTTTTGAGCGAGGAAAAATGCAATTATATATCAAAATATTTGATTTTTGACAATTTATGTGGTGGCCATCTTGGATTTCAAAATGGCTGCCATCCTAGCTTATGGAAGTTATTCTTATTGGACTCGGAGAGCCTAATTACATATGAGTAGACAATCAAATTTACCATTTTTCAACGACAGGAAGAGGAATTATACTGGAATATTTGATTTTTAAAGATTACTATGGCAGCCATCTTGAATTTCAAAATGGCTGCCATCCTAGGTTTTTGAAACATGTCTAATTGAATTCAGTGACCCTAATAACATTAGTTAGACACCAGATTTACCCTTTTTCATGGAGTAGAAGTAAAGTTATGAGCCATTCTCTTGATTTTAGCAGCCATTTAAAAAATGGCCGCCAAAAAACATGTCCCGCCCCATTTCAGGAGGCTCACCCCCGCTCATTTTTTTATTTATACCCTAGTGATGCCGAATCAGCAGAGAAACCTTGGTCCCCGGAAAATGGTCACGGGGGCCCAGTTTTTCACTATACTAAAACAAAAAGGGAATTTTATAATTTTATTCTAAAATAGCCAGGGTCTGGGGAATTTTCAGAATGGAATTTATTGAAATTAGCCTTCAACCAGCCTCCGAAGTGTTTCTGCCTAGTGGTGGCGCCAGCGGCATTATATCAGTCTATAAACCTAGGCCTAGGCCACCAACTGTACGTAAGTCAGGGAAGGCGGACCTTATTATGTAGCCTGACTTACTTAGCCTAGCTAGGCCATGCAAGTAAGTAAAAAAGTACAGTACTACTGTACATTCTTCGCTATATATTAATAAACTACAAACCTTCTGGAGACTTTTCTGCATAACATTGATAACTATATTCGGTGCCAAGGTTTTGAATGTATTCTTTGACTTCAGACTCATTCTTAAAGTCAATTTGGTTCATCTTCTTTCTTTGGAACCTCTCAACACCGGTCGGCTACATGGGATGGGATGCGGAAAATGGCAGCCTCCTTACGTATGGTTGGCAGAATCTTATAATATTTTGTCCAAATTTAGAAAGCCATAGTATAGAGGGCGGTATAATGATTTTTCGATCAGTTTTCGATGTTACTGCATGGAGTAAGTGTTCATGCCAGAAAACCCTATTTTTGGGTAATTTGTGTTTTGCAAGCAATTTATGTTTGGTTGGTCGTTTTTTTTTTCATTTTATACTTATGTCAGTTGCATTGTTTCGTTTTTATACAGTATTTCTTTTGGACGTAACTTTGATGTGTGTGCACTGTTAAAAAAGTGTAGTTTCCGAATAAATTATTTACTTGCTCTGGATATTTCAGTATCAAAGGTCAAGAAAACAATACATTTGTCAAGGAGAGAATTTCACATGCATTGCATTGATACTGATCAATTTTTATATTTCTGAACAGTTAATTGTACTTGATTTTCACCACAAGTAGCACACAAAAACATTCAAAGACCAAGTTACCGAGGACAGTGAATGATAGAAATAAAAATCGTATACACAGATATTTGAGTCCCGTGTTTGTTGCCATGACAGTATAGTAATTGGTGTTTGGATAAACATGTTTATTTCGCAAAAAATTACAATCGGGTGGCTGTGGAAAAATGTCAGATGCACACCTTCACCCACACACACAATGAATGCTTTCTTATAGTATTTTTTGACCTCTTTAAAATATATAAAAATAAAAAATATATATAAAATATATTATTGACTATTTGAATGGTTTTCATCAACACAGTCAGTACAGTATATCAAATTCTGTGTCATACTTTCACTAAATTCATGAGACAACAAAAAGATATTCAGAGAGAAAAAAAATCAAATTACAATTAACAATTTATTTTGCACAACAAAGAAGTGTAATATTAATTGGAAAACTCTTTTAAATTAAGATAATAGACAATTAACTAGTCAAATTAATACCCACTGCATCGTCACATCCATAATATATCAAATTTATTAAAAAAATGAATTCAATGATGTGCCTTTTATTTGTTTATTGAGACGATGTTGTCATACATTTTCAACAAAAAAATTGATGTCCCATAACACGCATAATAGGTCTACGTTGACACAAAACAATACCATTACAATTAACTGTTAATTATTAATTAAATAAGAAATACAAAACAATACAATTTCTTTATTCAATGATCTAAATATCATGCATATAACTCGAAGAAAAAAATTGAAAACATAATGTTTGGTTATTCAGAGATTCTATTATAAGCCTGTATGTCTGATGTATTTCACTTTATAATCAGACTAAAATATAAAAGTGAAGTGTGGTATGGTGGTTGAGGTGCAAAAAACCAGGATTTTTTCCTCACAACCAAACCCCAGCCTCATAAAAACCAATGATCAGCTAGCTGGATCATTGTCTTGAAAATGGTGAAAAAGTTAAACCAACAGGGCAGAAAAAATAGAAAATTTACTAATAGCAATATTTAAATGTTTAGATCACTTCCTAAATTAATCTCATGACAAAATAATTTAGAAACAGAGGCAAAAACCTGAATAGTTTCACAATAATTTTAGTGTATAGTATAATGTTACATCTGTTTTTATCTACATCCAATATACATATCATTTACACACAGTACGAAAATAAATCTACTCTACTGTAGAAGTAGCTATAATTATGTAAAATTAATTTGTTTATACTAGACATCTAAAATTCACTGTCAAACTATTAAGCAATAAAGTCACAATAGAGATACTGTAATATATTTTCACAAACACTAAATAGTTTTATGCTATTTAAACAAAAGCAGAAGAATAAGAAATGCCCTATAAAAAATCAACAATCATTAAATATTCAACACTACATTGACATCTGAGACAAACTTCAATAGGCGAGGTGTACACCTTTAGACGAATTACAAATCGATATATTTTGTTACATTTCAAGCAATAAAAATGTATTAAAAATTTAATTATTATTATTAGAAGTTAAGCTAGAACAAGTTCACCCAGATATCCATTCTAATTGATAACAAACCTGTTGTTAATTGAATTTAAAAAAAAACTTCTAGAAAATAGAATCAAAACAAATTTAATTAATTCTGGAACTAGTTATTTGAACATGCTGGTGGATTATAGGCACAATACAATTTATTTAGTACTTTGACGAATGCTGCAGTAATTTAACAGTCACCTCTACAAAACCAAACATTTTTCTAATTTTATTTAATTTCGCTTGCAGGCAATGGAATTTTGCTAAAATTCACAACATATTAACCTAACTTGACCCATAAATTTAAATTTTAAAAAATGCAATTAATACCCAACCGCAAATTGTACAGTAATACAAAAATTATACTTGAAACTTTTTCTGCGATACCTGTGTATACAAAGGGCCATATAAGGCATTAATTTATCATAAAAGTTAACATAAATGAAGTAAAAATGCTATATTATTAATCAGTCTATGATTTTGTAACTGCTTAGGAAAAAAAATATAATCAAAATTTCATTAAATTCACATACAGTATGTCTATGCTCAACTGACAAATTATTCATCGTACAAAATGGCATTTTGCTTGTGTAATGCGCTAAATTAAAACCCAATTTAAAATTGACATTATTTTACACATTTGTAATACAAATTAATTAGTAAATGTGGTATCTCCACGTATACTGATCAGTACACAGTACACATATATCTGGAGCATAAAATACCAAACACCTCCCAGAAAAAACACTGTGCAGCAAATTCAAAACCATGTATTATGTGATTATATAAGTCCCCAACCTCAACATTAACATTTTATCCACATATATCTACTGGTGCTTTAATTACTATTAATCTCTTAGAAAATATACAATTGTTTCAAAATAAGAACTGATGTCTGAAAACATTCAAGGTATGTAACACATTGCTATCCAGAAACAGTTTGCTCAGAAAACATCAGCAAAATTCATTATATCATATAAAGATACAATACATTCTATATGGGTGTGACATTCCCAGGTAATTAAGCATTCCAAAGTATTTGCATTTCTAAAATAACATTTAAGACCTAGTACAAAAACTGTATATTTTACCAGCTATAACTCAAATTTTCCTATACTTGAGGGTTAGATTTAGAGTGCATATTCACTGCCTAAAAGAAAAATCATGTTCCTCATACACTCCCTTTATATATTTGTTTTTAATGCACACAAAAACAAAAAAAAAAATGAGCAAAAACTCATCATAAGTAATGCCTATCCATGTGTGCCTAGGCTTGGCTAAGGCCTAAATATATGACTGTGTCTGCATGTAGCCATAACTGTGAAGGGGGAAAATGCTTTATCCTCCTGACAAAAAACATGTTTTTTTGCTTACTTGGCCAATGATAGGCATCCACATTTACTAGGTATTTATAATTGCATCAGTACCCACTTTAATATACCAACCATTATGATACCATCACGCATTCATAAAAGTTTACATTGTACTAGCGAGTCCATCACTGCAGTTACGCAAATAAAAGGTTGAAAATAAAATGAGTTGTACTAAAATTCTTATCAATTTAAAAACTAGCCATATTTCAGTGTACAATAATATACCAACTTAATATGAATTAAATTTTCACCACACTAACAATTACTATTTGGTTTTCACTATAAATTTAGGTTATATTTTAATTATGATAAATAAACTCATATAGTAAATGGAAGCATTAAGGTCAATGAGAACGTTAATACAATTTTGTGTTAATACCTTTTTATGCAGCGTGGCTTTAATTTTTGCACCTTGCTTAACTCACCGAGTTTGAACACAATCAACATGATACTGAATTTAAAAACAGGCAGTGCATCCACCACACTATAACTTATAAGAAACAAGGCTGCATGCTGTAAAACAACCAATCAAAGAATACAGCTTAGGATGATTCCATTTATAATAGTTCTTGGATGAATGCAATAAGTAAGGACTAAAAAGTATACGGTAAATTGATTGGTTGATTTATGGATTAATTAATTACGGACTCATTATTGTAACAATCAAAAGTCTGTGCTTAAATAATGTCAATTATTAAATAGTTGATAAAAATCAACTAAAAGCTACAAAAGAAAAAATATGTACTTAACCTTATCCTATGTAATTATAATTCAATGATAAATTAATGAAGATATTTAATATCACATTGCAGATTAAGTAATATCTTAACTAGTAACTAAAATTACACCAAATCTTATACTGTTAATGTAACAAATACTTGAACCTCATCTACAACATTTAAATTACACATTTTTAGTCTGGATTTAGACCCTAAAGGCTGATCAAGAGGAGTTGAGACAGTAATTATGTTGAACACCATTGTAGCAAAAGTAAAAATGAGCTTCATTTAACTATCTAAATACAAATTAAATATTCATGGTATAAAGTATATATTCAATCAAAACTTTTGGAAATGTTTTGATCAATTTTCACTCCCTTGACACTTGACAAATAATTATTAATGTTACAATTTATTTTTACTATAAAATGTCAATTAATTTGAATAATTTGAGCATAAAAACACGAAGAAAACTTTTTTTTTTCATATCCAAATTACATACAGTGATCAACATGGCAAGGAATTATCATTTTAGTTTGCATGGTTTTTAATGGAGAAATTTTAAACAACTAAATTTACTGTATTGAATGCAGCATTTGCCTGTAAGTAAAAAGAAATCTGCAGCATCGTAGGAGGGGGGAAGGGGCGTTATAGCACCATGTTTTAACACCGGGGGTAAATTTCTCACGTTGGAATTGTTATGAGAACATATTGTGAGACTACACACTGAATCTCATGCAGCATTGCACTATATTATTATTTACTTATAACATGTTTTAATGATCAAATTTGTCATGCAAATTTTTATTTAGGTTTGTGGTATTGTGTATTTATATTCATTCACTCACACTAAAGCCAAAAAAGTTTGTGTTGCCTGAAGCCTCATCAACCGAAAATTTAAAACAATTTAAGGTCAGAGCTTTTTGGGGAAAAAATATGAAGGGGCCTGAAATACTTGTATAATGTTTACAGGGGATCTTTTAAAGCTTTAATTAAAATGATACATCACCCCTGAATTTAGCCCGAAATACATAAGATGACGTTTACCTATGAACTCTAGCATTAGGTCCGACAAATAGATAGTACTTTTAAAAGAATTCCTGACCGACCTAGGGCAACAATATTTTTAGCCTAATACTGTATACAAAATTATCAACATCTTACTGAAAATTAGTAATTCAAACTCTTAAAATATCACCGTGAAAAATGAGATGTTCAAAATAATGACTGTTATGCTACTATTTATGATGCTAACATGCAAAACACATGTACAATGACTTACCACTCTATGCTCTACTATGCAGCACAGATCCACTGTGGATGATTTTGATATAATATATGGTTTCTTTTTTTTTTTGTATCTATTTTTCTATTTTCTTGTAAAATTCCTATTGAAATTATGCAAATGACAAATATTTAATGTAACGCTATCAACTCAATGGTGGCTTCCTCTACAAAATATTATTGAAACAATTTGGTCCATAAACAGATTGATAATAACAAACTTTTGAGAACTATTTTAAATGCTGCTAATGACTAGATCAAATTTACATGCACTGATTTTGTTTTTGTGCTTACACTTAAGTTCATCGTCTGAGGGTGATGCATCGAAACGTCATTCTTAAAAATGACGCTTACCAAGTAGTTTGAATGGAATTGCATATTTTAGAGAAAAGTATCATTTAGTACACCTTAAGTTTGAATTCTACCAATATTCTCAAGATATCTTAGCATCCTGAAATTATTCTAATCCTAATTTAAAAAAAAAAAAAAAAAAAAAAAAGCAATAGGCATTAAATGAATACAACTCAATTTGATTTGTAGAAATTGTAAATGAGCCCCCTTGTTTTCTTTACACTGGATATCAAATCTATTTTTTTTTTTGTTATTTATTAATGAGGTATTTTGACAATGTTGTGTAATTCTAGCTATCAAAATAAATAGTTCACACACATATTTCTTTCAATGGAAATCACAAATTCTGTAAAATAATTTCTCTAGAATTACAAATCAATGACTGTGTACCATATATTCTTGTGTTTAAGACGACCCTCAAGTTTGAGAAAATTTTTGGATGATTTTTGTATGTTAGGCGTATAAGACTGTCGGAATTTCTCCTTTCGATATGAGCCACTGGGACCAAGCCTGCATTTAGCCTTCAAATCGCCATACAAGTCCAAAGTCTAGGCTTGGTAAAGTTCACAGACTTCATTGTATCAGCATTTAAAAAGCATCAATTAAAACTTAACCAACAAATTAAACAACAATCTTCTTGTATGGCATTCATTTCTTGCTCATCAAGCAATGGTAACCATACTAACATTTAGTAACTTCATTTCAGTATTAAATTTGCATGTTACGATGCTGAGCACATGACAACAAAATTTAAAAAAAAACTTGTTGCAAGTATAAGACAACCTCCCTG